CTTCAACGGAAGGTTTCCAGATGGATATGCGGAGCAAATCCATCTGGCGGAGTCAGGTTAATAGACAGGTATAGAACACTGCAGGCTAACAAAGAAGCCAAACAACCCCCATTGTAAAGGGGGTCGTCTGTTTCTATTTGCATGTTTCCTGAGTAAAAACAAGGCTTTGTTGGGCTGCAGTACAGTTTTCCACTTTATTTATAAAATGTGGTGTAAGTCATATCTGTAAAAAAACAAGTTTACAATCCGTCAGCGGTGATGAATCAAAGTAATATAACCTAAAACATCCTGAGGTAAAATAATCACACAAAAAAATATTTTAAGAATTGAAAATAACAATGAAACTAAAACATTATGTCATGAAATCTGCATTAAACATTTTTTTAAATGGTTCTAACAAATAACAGAATGGCTTTAAAGTAAAATGAAGCATCTGGATTCAGTCGCGTTGAAATAGAAGTTCAAAAACATTCCCTTCGTCTCTACAGTCATTTTAAAACATTAAAGAGACAACACGTGGTGCTGATTCCACTTTTCAGATATCCCACATTACTGGTCCAGCCATTTCAAAAAAGTTAAAATCAATCCGCTGGACTTTGTTTCCAAGTTTGAAGACGTTTCTCTTCCATCCAGGAAGCTTTTTCAATTCAAAATGTCAGAAATAGCGTTGAGTTCCAGGTTTTATCCAGCAGCCCAACAAAGTCTTGTTTTTGTTTAGAAAACATGTAAATTTAAACGGATGAACGGGTCCCCCCCTTTGGAATGGGGGTCGTTTGGCTTCGTTGTTAGCCTGCAATGCCCCATACCTGTCCATGTCTCTGAAAGGGGGGTCGTTAAAGGGAATTTTTGGCCTATTTAGTCAGGCCAACAATTCCCTCACAAACGGGGACATCTGGTTTTAATATACATTTTAAAAAGATCAGATTTCAATCCTTTTTTTTAATTCTTTCAATTTCAAAATTTATTTTTTTAACATATTTTAAAAATACAAGATTTTAATTCTTTGAAATTCAAAATTAAAATGTTATCATCTTTATTTTTGTCTTTGTTTCCAACATGTTTTTCTTTCTTTCAAAACTGTTTCCAAATAATTAGTTCAGATCTTTTTTCCTCAATAGTTTCAGAAAATTGTTTTCCTTTTTGTTTAATTCTGTCTATGTCTCTGTATAAAGCCTGGAACTCAATGCTATTTCTGAGAATTTTGAATTGAACAATCTCCCTGAATGGGAAGCGAAACGTCTTCAAACTTGGAAACAAAGTCCAGTGGATTGTTTTTTAACCTTTCTGGAATGACTATGACCTGGATGACAGAATCTTCACCAGCGTTATGGTTCAGCCATTAAATGTCAGTCTAAGAAACAATATACGGTAAAAACAAGGCGATCGACTCTACCCCCCACCACCACCCACCACCACGTAAACCTTCCAAATATTCGTAAATAATAAAAATTGTTGAGTGTTAAGGATGACATTCAGCTGAAACTTCTGGGCTGATTGGGCAACACTCAGTGACTGCCTAAAAAACTTTGGTTTTTGCCAATCGCAGTAAGAGATGGAAGAATTAAAACTTGTGTTTTTTACGCTCTTGTTGTTGACGGCAGCAGCTACAGGTACGTCCTCCTTCACTGCCATGTTTATTTTGGTTTGGCTGTGGGCGATCTTCCCGTTCCCCTGGTTACGTGTCCAGCCTTAAACCCTACGCGTCATGTTTTGGATTCGAAAATACGGGAAAGTACATCTGCTGCGAGCCGTCTGACTATCCCAGTCAAGCTCCAGTATCTATTATATTTTAAACTTTTGAAATGAAAGCATTTCTTCAAAGTCCTGAAAAGCTCCTAAAGCCGGGCATACACTTTTCGATTTTTTGCGTCGTTGCAAGCAGCTGCAGTTCACACTGTACGGCGAAACCCTGCGCATTCGCCGTACAGTGTGAGCTCACAGCTCCAGATGTCTGTCCGACCCGACGCTCTGATGCGGTCTACCTGCTCACACTGTACGTCTAAAAACCAGGTGGGACTCAGCTCCACAGTGAGATGGCGCTACTCGGACTCGTCTATCCAGAAGCCAAACGAGTAGAAGAGGAATATGAAGCTCACTAGAGTGAAACAGGCAATTTGTGCGATTTTGTGCTGAAAGCCCTAAAGAGAAAAGGAGACGACGTATTTGGACAAAAACATGGCTGAGAAAACATGGCTACTACGGTCTGTCTGTTTTACAGAAAGAACTCCATTTCACTCATTGCCCCCCCGTCATGCTGCTGGGTTATTCTCTGAGAGGAAGAAGACGAATCCTTGTTTGCGTACTGAGCGATTTGCCAAAGCCGCCTTATGACGGCCGACTGAATTTCAAACATGTTTGATTTTCTCCCGACCTCACGATTCCTGATGGGGAGGTGGTCGTTAGAGGCTGATTGCCCCTCGTTACCCCCTGTACAGCTACACCACGCACCATCAGCCTGAACGTCGGCCCGATCGGAAAATTCTTGTACGACTGGAAAGTCGCCCCGAAAAGGGCAAAAAAATCGCGCAGTGTACGCCCGGCTAAAGACGCTGCTGAAAGTAAAGTAAAGTAAAGTAAGTTATCGTGGGTGTTTCTTATCTGGTGTTTTATCTTTAGGGCAACTGCTTCACTATTATACTCATTGATCAGCTTTGTCCGAAGTTGATCTGTTTTTGCTCTGGCCTTTTTGAAATGTAAAAGAAACTTCTCCCGTCGGCTGCTAGCTCCAGGGGGACGATTGGCTAAGGATTCCTGCTTCGGCACCACCCAACCCCACCATTTACATACACCCCGACACCAGCCAGTGGTTTAATCTAACAAATATGTCTCTCATCTTATCTATGTATTTTATTTTCTCTGTCTGCTAAACTAATTCTTGAAAATGTTTTTTCTGATGAATCTGGACCAATTCTTTCCTTCGCCAGTTTGACTTGAGGAAGTTCAAATGGTAACCAGCAGCACACACTGTAGCAACTAGATAACCAGTATTATTGTAGTTCATGGCTATGTGGAGTGTTTTCCAGATCGATCTGACGTCTTTAGGTCAAACTGCATTCCCACGGGTCATCTCAGCAACCCTCAACCGCAGGATCTGGATCTCCAGGTTGAGCTTCTCCCGCTCCAAGAGCAGATTTCCTCTCCTCAGCTCCGTTAGATCCCCGTCTTCAGCCATCACAACACCTTTCATCGCAGCGATCAGGCCTTCAGAGGAAGTAGAAGCGGGATATAATCACAGGGAGGAATCCGTATGGGGAAGTGAAATTGATTTGTTAAATATAATTACACTCTTAGCTCCTTTCTTCCAGCAAAAACAAAAAAAGCAGCCAGCAGAATTACCTAAGGAAAAATGTTTACAAGCTTTAACCCAGGATTTAAGACTGCAATAGGGATGCTTTTAAAATCAATTTATTAATTGCTGCAATACTTGTTTTTGTTCATTTTTAACGTAATGAAAGTTGGACAAAATTAACTAACTAAATGCACTGCCAAACTGTAAATATAATTAAGTAAATTCTTTCTCAAATAAGTGTATTTTCCCTTAATGGGAGCAGCAATAAGATACAATCTGTTTAAAATAGTATATATATATATTTTAAGTGCATAATATCCAATAATCATGTTCTAAGGGCAAAAATCCTTCTTCTACTGGCAGATGATTTTATTATTTAGCTTCTCACATTTTTACTTAGTTTTAAACTGTCTTGAAGCAAGTTTTGGAAGAAGCTGAAATCCTGATCCTCTTACATCCAATCATAGGCTTGTTTTACATGCTTAAATTGTCTCTTTAATATCAAACATGTTGCACTGCAAAAAAGATCTAGAAATAAGTCAAAATGTCTTAAATTAAGTGTGTCTACCATTAATTTGAGTAGGTAAACAAGATGATTCGCCAATGGAATGAGGATTTTGACTCAGTTAAGATAATTAGATAATATAGACTTAAAATAAGACAATAAAATAGTTTTTTTCTTATTTTAAATATAAATTATCTTGTTCCAAGTGTCTCAATTACCTGATTCAAGAAAAATGGACTTATCTAGATTTTTTTTTTTTTTCAGTGTGTTTTATTGCACTCCGCTATAATAGATAACTATTATAATCATCATAATCATATAATTATTTCTTTTTTAAATGATTTTTAAGATTAATTACTTTGATTTTTAAATGTTATTGTTATTATTAAATAATAAATGTTGATGTAAAATATTTTAATATGATTTTATTTATTAAATGGCGACCTGTCAAGCGTGTCAGAAAATGGATGGATTGATATTATTTATTAAAATTATTATTAGGGCTGTTTCAATGATCATTATTAAATAATTAAATTGTATTGTTTAAGTAATGCATTATCAATTTTGACTATGATTATTTTTAAACCTGTTTTAATTTTAAATATTTCTGTTTTTGTTCTTTTTCATTATTATAATTTAAGAATAATTCATTTTAAAGTTATGTTAATAATATTTTTTCTTATCTCATATTATCTATTTTAACGGTCTCTTTAATTATCATTATTATTATAGCTTACCATCATCATCATCGTCTGTTTTTTCAGGCAGACCCCTCAGCTCCACCTCCACAGGATAATGGTCGCTCACTTTCAGAGCCTAAAACAAGGAAAAGTTTATAATGTTATATTATAATGATTATTGAAACTGTTTAATATCTAAATATTCTGCTAAAGAAATCTAAACAAATTATAAAAACAATTAGTAAATTATTTAATTGCTTAAAAATAACAGCAGACAAACAGTAACTGGTTCTTAGCTAAATGCTAATCCTGATGTGATAAATGAGAATAAACGCTCTGAGTGATTCTTTTGTTTCCTGCTGATGAATATAAACAGTTTTCCATGAACCAAATCAGAGAATTTACCAGAAGCTTCACAGAAACTAGTGAAAATGACTCCACACCTGTTCTTCAGAGAGATTATAAGCCTTTTGGAAGTTGAAGGGTTTAGCAGATTGTGGAACAACAGCCTGAAGCATGTCGTCTCCGTAGACAACGATCCTGAAAGAGGGAAGACGAAGAATTAATCCAGCAAACAGCAGAGGCTCAAGGATGAAAGGAGTAAACTAAACATTCTGCATCAGTTTTATAAACCAAACCTTTTGGATCAATGTTGGGTTTGCAGGTTTTTCTAAGATGGCTGGTTGAAGCCTACCTATCATATGTGTGTGCGTTCCCGCTGCTCGCTGTGGTGTCCACATCGTCTCCGATCAGCCAGTGGAAGTTCTTGTCGCTACGGATCCGGATAGTTTTCATTTCCTTTTTTGTGAGGTATGAGCCGTCGGCATTAAAGTCTCCCAGGATCATCACGTTCTGTGGCAGAGACGCAGGAAACCATAAAGAGTCTTATTTACAGTGACGGGGAGAGGAAATTAAGCCCTCCATCGTAATAATACAGTAGCAGCAATTTAAACTGGCCCTTCCCAGTCAACCCCCAGCTGAATGGCCAAGGACCAGCCAAGGAAAGTGGGGACATTTTGAAAGGCTACTACTGTAAATCAGGCTTCTGGAAGCAGCCAAAAGTCTTTTTATGTATCAAATTGTGTGAATGAAACTATTGGTGCCTAAATTGCATTTAAATCCAAAAACATTTAAAAGAAAAAAGCAGAATAAAGAGACCAGTATTACTTCTGTCAAACTGAATTGGAATATAAACATGACTATCTATCGTTAAAGTCGTAGGGAAGCGGCTGTTCCAACCGTTGCATTTCCTAATTCTCCCGAGTGGTGCCCGACTTTACACCAGTGAATAAAGTGAATGTGATTGGTTGTTTATCAAGGGGGCGGGATTGTTATAGCGGAAGGTTCTCAAGCAAGTTTGGTTGTGGCCGGTTTGTCGGAAGCATCTTGCTAACCAGTTAGCATCTTAGTGCTAGCAGGTTCCCAATGGGAAATTCCATTGGGACCAAGTAGCACTAAATTGGTGACTTAGAAACGACGCTGTCAAGGAACGCTATGGACAGAGGAAACATGCAAGAGGAGGAGAGTTTAGTGTCGGAGGTCGTGGATGAGTCTCCTCCGTCATCCATTTTTTATTTAGAGGAGGAAAGCGGGGACGAAGATGTTGTGGAAGAGGACGCCAGGGCGGCAGAAGCTTGGTTTGGTGTAGAAGGCTTCCAGCCGTACATGTTTGAGCCCTTGGCTCGCAACGCTGCCAGTTCTGTTAGCTCTACGCCTGCTGAAGACACAGACGTCCATCCCCGTGAACACTGGGACGCAACTCAATGGGAAAGGAAAGGATTCTGATTTCAACCGTTGCGTATATTAGCTGCGACAGATGAATCAAGATGCTATGACTGAATAGATTTGATTGACAGATGACCGTTGATATATGATTGGCTGAATTTAGGTGTTCAGGCTGATGTAGAACTAACTGGCCTGCATAAAATAATGAAAAAAAAACAACCTGCGATGGTCTGGCAGACCTGTCCAGGGTGGACCCCCCACCTCTCGCCTGTACACAGCTGGAGCACCAGCACCCCTCTGACCCCAGACATAAGCGTGATGGAAAATGCATGGATATAACTCCATTAATAAATAAATTATCTTTTTTTTTTTTCTTTCTTGTCAATCTTTATTTTTATTTAATTCTCTTAATTTAGCTAATAAAAAGTCTCCTTAGCTGGATGCTGTTGATAGAACCAATACTGACAGCCTGATCTGTGCTGGTCTACTCTGATCAGATATCTGGTTAATCAGATGGTAAATTCATCTTCAGGATGAATCTGAGCGGATCCATCAGTGCAGACCAACCCTTTCCTCTCATTATAGAAAGGAGCAGTTTTGTTTTGTTGAGTCCTTACATCAGTCCTCCACTTCTTCCTGACATGAACAAAGACGTCGTAGAGTTCGTCCAGCTCCTTGTCCGAGTCCTCTGGTTTGGTGTGAACTGGGATGATCACCAGATCTTTCAGAACTGGGAGGAGATCAGACAGATATCAAGCTTAGAAACATTTTTGCATAGATAATTTTACATTTATAACCACAAGTCATCTCTCACCTGTATTTAGGCACCTGAACCGAAGGATGTACGGATCCCTGGCAAACACGTCCAGCCCCTCGGTCTTCTCATCATCGAACTGGTACGAGCCCACCAGGTCAACCAGGTCGTCCCTGCAAACACAAAAACATACGACTTTATTTAAAAAGCTGTTTAAAAATAATAAAGCAGATCGGAGATTTAAAGGGTCACTAAAAGCAATGAGTCCGACGCTCTGAGGATACAGAAGATACAAACAAACGGAAACAGTTAGCCTCTAAAGGCCAGAACACACTGAAAAGGCTGAGTCAGAGCTACAGAGTCTGATTAGATTAAATAAAACATCTCTAAAAGACTTTCTGTTGTTATGTGACATATAACCCGTCCTTCTTTTCATTTTCATTTTCACAATTAGGAAAATTTACGTTTATATCATTATGGCTGATAATGCATAATAACTATTATTGTATCCTGAAATAATTAGGAGTAAATTTGGTTTCCCAGAACATTTGATCATAATTTAACCTGGAAACTAGTCTGAGACTTTAGTGCAGCAAGGCCAGGTTTCTGTAGCCATGGTTTCTTTAAAAGCACAGAAAAAAAATCTCCCAAGGAAGACAAATAAAAAAAATCTTAAATCTATCAACTAATGAAATGTTTCTAATCTTCAGTAACTATTTAATACTATATATGGAAATAACAACTTTATGTCCTTTAACTTCTACATTTTCAGTATAAACCATAAAATTATTTCTCTGTCTTTGTATTTATTAATATTTTTTACCTTTGATATCATTTCTTTATTTAAGAATTTAGTGATTTAGCTAAACCAACAATCAAATAATAAATCGAGAAATGTTTAAAAAAAAACACAAATTCAATCGTCTGTTATTCAGGCTCAGATAAACTACTTTAAGCAGTTTGTGAACTAAATTAGCCTGCCAATGAATGGATGAATGAATAAACAGATGAACGAATTAATGGATGGATGAATGAATGGATGAACGAATTGGTCAATGAATGGAAGAATAAATGGATGAATCAATGGATGAATTAATGGATCATTAGATTAATGAATGGACGAATGAATGAGGGAATGAATGGGTGAATGAATGAATATACAGATGAACGAATTAATGGATGGATGAATGGATGAGGGAATAAATGGGTGAATGAATATATGGGTGAATGAATGGATAAACGAATTGGTCAATGAATGGAAGAATGAATGGATGAATCAATGGATGAGGGAATGAATGGGTGAATGAATATATGGATGAATGGGTGAATGAATATATGGATGAATGGATGGATGGGTAGATGAATGGATGGTGAATAGATGAATGAATGGATGAATTATTGATGATGAATGAACGGATGGATGAATGGATGGATGGGTGAATGAATATATAGATGAATAGATGGATGATTGAATGAATGGATGTGAATAATGGATGGATGAAGGAATGGGTGAATGAATTGGTGAATGAATAGATGAATAAATGAATGGATGGATGGTGAATAGATGACTGAATGGATGAATTATTGATGATGAATGAACGGATGGATGAATGAATGAATGAATGGCTCAATGAATGGATGAATGAATGTGAATAATGGATGGATGAAGGAACGGGTGAATGAATTGATGAATGGAGTCTCACCTGTACAGGAACATGAACTGCTCCTTGTAGCGTGTTCGGCCCAGGCGGGTGCTGATTTTCAGGGTGTAGTGATGTTTCCGGTTGGCCCTGAGCGGACACACAGAAATGCGTTTCTCAGTTTAAGTTTCCTCCAAAGAAAAGCCGGAGGAAGAAGTTCAGGATGATAGAATTCAAATTTCCACCCTTTATAAACAGCACTGTTATAACCGCAGCAGTATGGAAAGTCAATGGTTATATATTTCCATCCAGTAATTTCTGTCACGGTTATCCCAGCTGCGGTGGTGAGGGGTGCTGGTGTCTATCTCCAGCTGTCTATGGGTGAGAGGCGGGGTCCACCCTGGATAGGTCTTCACCTAAAGAGGATCTAGAGAACCTAACAGTCATGTTTTTGGACTGTGGGAGGAAGCCGGAGTATCCGGAAAGAACTCACGCATGCTCAGGGAGAACATGCTCACTCCATGCAGTAAGCCAGGAATCGAACCCGGAGCCTACTTGCTGCAAGGCATCTACTATGCTTTGATTTTATTTATTTTCATGTGTTAAGCTTGATCATAAAATGAGAATTTTAATTAAAAAATGGGATAAAATATACAAGTATATAAAATATACAAAAATGGCGCAGGCATTGCGCAGTGGAGGAGGAGTTACGTGACCAATGGTGACCATCTGTCCAAATGGTCAGCTAACTGAGTTCACTATAAAGTTCACTAAAGTCCGTGCTCTATACAGTGATGGAGGGATTTAGGGGTTAGGATGGACGTTTGGTTGCAGGGTTGTGCTTGTGTATTATTTTTTTTAAGTGGAGAGGGTGGGGTTCTTTTCAAAAATTAGCAAAAATCCTCCACTATACCTTTAATGAAGGATTTCTATGATGTCACTTCCTGGGTTGCTTAAATTGGACCTTCCATGAAAATCACAGACTTGTCTCATGTTTCTAAGTAGGAAACGTTTGCACTCAGTGGGTGACTGAATACTTTCCCGCATTAGTTCACAGATCTGCGGATTGAGACCCCAGTTTTGGTGTGAATGTGCGCTTTTACTAACGTGTTGATTGCTTTCTTCAAAATTTCCACAGATTTCCCGCTGCTGTCTACGACCTCCAGGATCACAATGATGTCATAACGGGAAATGATCTGAAAGAGACAGAGAATTTTGAAAAACAGGCCAAAGATCTGGACTAACAGCTTGATGCATTAGGAATCAGAAGTTTATTTTGTTTCAAGTTTTAGTTTTTTACCTTAACCAGAGTCTTCAGAACATCTGCGTCCGCCACTTTGCTCCGCCCAAACTTCTGAATGTTAAACGCTGCTATTTTCATGGTGCCTGAAAGCCTGGAACGAAAAGCAGGAAACATTTGTCTTTAAATAACTTTATTGTGTCTGAACATGTGCTAAACATGTAGCAAACATGCGTGTGTAGCAGGTATTTGTTTAACATAAGACATGATGTTTCAAAACTGACAGCTTTAACAATCAGTTTGCTCCAGGGAACAAAGCAAGGTGCAGACGAGCTCCAAAGAAAACAAGTTTGCTCCAAAACCTTTAGTGGCAGCTGTGTCTGAGCACCGGAAAAACGATTTAGAAATAAGTAAACATTTCTTCATGAAGGAGAGTTTGCCAATGGAATGAGTATTTTTACTCTTAGAATGAGATAAGTGGATAATATGCACTTCAAGTAACATAACGCTATTGTGTTTTCTTATTTTAAATCTTAGTTGTCTTGTTCTATTGGCAAAATGTCTCTTTATATCCTCAATTAAAAAACAAATGCACTGATTTTAAGAAAAAAAACACTTATCTAGATTTCAAATTTTTCCAGTGAGGAAGCAGGTTCACTGCAAAAATGATCCTAAAATGAGTAAAAAAGTCCTTAAAATAAGTGTATTTTCTCCTAATTTGAGTGGGTAATGGGACAATCTGCCAATAGAATGAGTGTATTTAGCCTTAAAATAAGATACTCACATATTATGCAATTGAAATAAGAGAGGGCAGTTGTTTTTTCTTATCTTAAAGGTATAAATTGTTTAATTCATCTGGCAAGGTATGTCACTTACCTGCTCAATTTAAAAAAAAATGCAATTAATTTAAGGAAGATTTCCTCACTGAAATTTGCATTTTTTGCAGTGTTTACATGAAAGTCGTTGTTGGATCCAGGGGCGTCCAGAAATTATTCTAACTTTAGAATTTGACATTCTCTTATTTATTTTTATTGTAGCTTCCATTTTTTTTTCCTACTTTTTATTCATTTCAAATTCCATTTTCCACATTACGCTCTCTGCACTTCTGTTGGAGGGCTTTCCTGAAGATGCATTTCTATTGATATTCTATTTGATAAAAAACCTTTGGCTAAAATGCCATCAGAACGCTGATAATATTAAGTGTGCCTCAGCCCCCCCCTTCAGTGTCCACCATATTGGATCAGTCCATTTGCTGCACATGTTCAGAAAGGTCCAAACAGACAGCAGCAAACCATTTGAAAACAAACCATGCAAAGAGCAGTGTTGCCAACTTAGCGCTTTAGTCGCTATATTTAGCCACTTTTCAGACCCCTCTAGCACTTTGATTTCTAGAAAGCTCCTAGCGCCAAATCTAGAGACTTTTTTCTGCTACTGGAGACTTTGGAGACAACATCTAAAAGCAGCGAACTCTGCTTCCAGAGCAAGTAGATTGGTAACCCCGCCTCCTGCTCTTGAGAGGAAAACAAGAAGAAGAAAAGGGACAAGAAGAGAGGGACAAAAGCTAGAACAGATAATGGATATCTATTCTAATAACATTTCTCTATCTGTATAATGGGGCTGTTTTATGTATGGTCTGCTCAATTCAGGGCCCCTGCCTGTCTTTGCCTAGGGCCCCACATTTCCTAAATCTGCCCCTGACTGGTTCTGGGACACGTTTTTTTTTTTTTTTTTTTTTGGTCTTCTCCTTAAAACTGTGATTTTCCAAGTAAACTGCAGACCTGCTGCTACATGCTGAATTGTGGTCTTTTGCTGAGGCTCTACCACCACCCACATAAATCAGGTCTGCAGCACCAGTCCCTCCAGTGTTTCCTCATTTACAGCAAATGCTTCTGCTTGAGAAGAACTTCACGAGCTGCAGGCAAACAAGATCTTTTAAACTTTACATTTTCCTGCAGCCTCCTAAAATCCATAACAGGCATTTGAGTTAGTGGGAATTTATTTGATGAGTTTTTATTAAATATGAATTTTTTTAGAATTGGTGGTCATGCTGATGAAGATTTTCAATCCTCCAGGTCTGAGTCATTCCAAAAAGTAAAAAAAAAAAAAAAAAAAAAACAATCCACAGGACTTTTTTTAAAGTTTAAAGACATTTTTCTTCCCATCCAGGAAGCTTTTTCCTTTCCGCCTGCTTTAGACCGACTCCCTCCTGATCCTGTTATCCACAGTGACACTCCTAATGAAAAACCTCAGCATCATCCTCTCTGCTCGTCTCCTTTCCACTTCCACTCCTTCAAACCATCCTTTAAGCAGGTTGGAATGAAAGGAGAAGGAATTAAACTGAAAATTAGACTTTGAAATTTGCTGATTTGGGGCATAAAAGTGTTTTAAAAAGGTTGATAGTTTTATCCAGAACACACTTTTCTTTATAAAGCAATGTAGGTTTTTATGTAAAAACTTTTTTACTCTTTTCTAAAGGTTCCCAAAACAAAGATTAAATGCAAGATGTTTGGGTTGTTCAATTTTGAAGGACAACAATTCAAGTGAATAAATATCGGATCTCTGTTGTTGACATTAATTTACATGAAAGGCTTTATGTACTAACAACTTAAGTATAAAACTAAGCGTAAAAAAAAAAAATTAACTCCTAATATGCCAGCAGGACTCACTGAACTAAGAGAAAATATTTGTATGCAGCCAACGAGGTACTGACATATTATATATAAAAAAAAAGACATATAAACACGACTATGTATCTTTAATAATAACTTTAGTGATAAGATGGAAAAATCATTTGTAATTTATAATTTAAAGGAATTTGTGCATAACTGAACTTTGAGAGGATAACTAGCTGACTAGTTTTTTTTCTCTGTGTTTATTAACTTACTCAGGCTCACCTCTGAAGGTTCAGAGGTGAGC